AATTTTGTTGAATTTCTAGAGTTTTCAAGGATTCATTTACAAATTTATGATTTATTATAATTTTGTTATTTTCTTTATTTTGGAAATATGTTTTCCTGCACTCATCTACTCCAACACCTAAATATTATCATTTTCGTTCACCTTACTTTCAAATATGGGTATATCATTCGGCTGTTTATGGATAGTTAATTCTATCGTTTAGTTTAAACGATTAATTAATCATTATAACATTTACAAGATTTTTTTAATCGTAATACAGTCGTTAAGAAATGATTAATCGTTAAAGGTTAATTGTTACTAACGTTTCAGTTACAAATTAACTTACGGTTAATCTATTACAATTATTTTTCAAAAATAACATGACATGAACGTTTTAGAATTTCATAATTCATACTAAAAAAAGTGTAACCTTTGCGAATTTGGCCTTCGTTTTTTACTATTGTTCCCTCTTTTCCAGTGTTGTTAAATATGATTTCTTGTTTGCTTCATAATTTTAAAGGTAGAGAAAAATGTTGAAATCAAGGTTAGCAACTTTAATTTTAAAACACATAGGGACATATAAATGCTTCACATTCCATTGTTGAATGTATACAACATGTTTTTTCGGTCAATTCTCTTTATGCTTTCCACGCGTATCAATGTTATAGAGCATGTCATATCAGATATTTGTATAGGAATTGATTGATGGGACGCAAACTGTCGCAACACTCTATCTATGGCGTGTATCTCAACAATCGCAAAGTGAAGCAGAGGTGTAACGACACAACACAATTTCAAGTCTTCAAAAAATCCCAGTGACATTAACCGGTAGATCTTATCGTCACAGTACGAAATCCAAGAAAAGTATAAACATTAATTATAAAAGTTAGTATAAACCAAAATAAATTAAAAAAGATAAAAATAAATTTAAGAATTTACTAAAATAATATTTATCGCATGTCGACCAGCGATATTGATCCTCATTTGTATACCATATTTATTTGCACCCGACAACTAGGTCTCAATAATTTTATGCCGATATCTAAATAATATAATAAAAAAAATTTAAAAGTATAAAAAATTTAAAAATTTAATAAAAATTAAATTAAAAAATTATCTTCCAATCAGAGGAAACTCAACGGGGTTGTTATAATTGGCGTCGGAAACGGGAACTAGTATCATGCCCAAGAATGTAGCAAGACTAGACAACCTGTAACATCGACTTTTTCATCCCTTTCGACGATTGTAGCCTTGCAAAGTTTCTGGTATAAAAATGCCAAAATGGTTGAGCCCCAACTATAAAAATACCAAAATGGTTGAGTCCTAGCTAGTGTTACGACACTCAGTAAAATTATTCAATATTGGAAAATACTGAACGTAAGCCAGATTACCAGATTTATCCTATAACAATCCTTTCAATTAATTAGAGAAGATACGCTCAGGCTGCAAATATGACCTCCTCCTCGGTAGAGTCGTTAATCACATTGAATTCAGACTCCAACCAAGTTATATGTATCTGATACTTGTCTAAGACATCTGATGGTTACATATTTCTCAAAATTGCCTTAACAATTGTGAATCGGTTGAAATTATTGTGCCTCACTAGTGTCGTACCATTAACCGGAACGTCGAGTTGGTAAGCGACATCTTCCAGCGTAATCATCACTTCATCACTCGAAAATTAGAAAATATGCTTTTCTTACATTCAACGTTCAATCTGCGCCGAAATCAATGTCAGGTTCATTGTAAAACCACATAGAAATGTGGCTAGATACAACACGAATTGTTGCAGATATATAATAATATGATGATGCAGATCTCTAAATGTCATTCCCCGTTGCTGAATACCCCATTCTTCTTCTGGACTGAGTTTGAGTGAAGAAATATGAATATCATTAAGACGTAACATTTTATCTCGAGTAGATATTTTCAAGAATTCTTCAAAAATACAAAATTTTCTCAATATTTTTTCTTAAAACACATAATAAAAGTCCTAAATCTCAAACCCTTATTTATTACCCCAATCCCAACGCCTATAAACGACAAATTTTAAAAAAAAAACTGATGAGTTTCAATTTGCCAGTTGAAATATGATTGTTGCTGCTGCCCGTTGCCCAATGGCTATAAACTGCTAGTGTTTTAAATTCAGGGATAACTTGTCACTTCGTCGTGACGAGTCTCAAATTTTTTTTACTTTTAAATTATTTACTGAATTTTAAAAAAATCCATGGGACGAACATGACTAGTCTCTTGAAATTGTAGCATTTATTGTAGATTGCCAAATAAATTCTAAAGTGACCTATTGGGCCAATTAAATTTTTTACCTGGCCTAATGGGAGAAAAACCATACCTATCTATTTCAAGACTTTAATTAAGAATCTTTAAAATATATATTATCACTTGTAATTATACTAAATTTTTATAAATAGGTTTTTTCATATAATTAAAAGTATTCGCAAACAATTGAAAGTTTATTTGAATAAAAACAAATAAACCATAAATTAACATAGTTTTAATTTTTTAGATATATGAATAATTATATTATAAATAGAATAAATATAATTTTAAAAGTACTTTTTTTAAATAATTTTAAAAAAAATATATTTTCTCATAAATATAAATGAATTAAATACATTTTTACTTAAATTTATATTTTTTAATAAATAAAACATAACATTTATATTTAAGGGCGAGCAAAACTCGACTCGACTCAAAAATTTGATTTTTTTTTCAATTTCAAGTTATTCGAGTCAACTGGAATTATCAATTTGTTTTTTGAGTTGAGTCGAGTTGAAATTTTGAGTTACTCGAAAAATAAAAAATTTGAATAAGTATTTTGACAATTTTTAAATTTGGTCCATAATTTCATTCTTCCTTCAATCCCTCCTTCATTTAACTCCAAATTTTACTAAATTTGAACCACATGCTCCTAAACCACCATAATAGAATACATATGTAATTTCATTTTTTTGATAAAAATTTCATTTTTCAATTTAGTCCTTTAATTTTTCATAATTTCCTTATTTCTTCAATTTCTTCTTTATTTGAAGTCCAATATTTACCAAATTTGAACCACGTGCTCCTAAATCATCATACAATACATATGTACTTTCAATTCCTCTTTTTAATAACAAATTTTCTATTTTTCTATTTAGTCCCTCAATTGTTCTTAATTTCCTTATTTCTTCAATTCATCCTTTATTTTAAGTCATTTTTTTTTACCAAATTTGAACCACATGCTACTAAACTATAGTAGAATACATATGTACTATCAATTCATCCTTTTGAAAACAAATTTTCTATTTTTCAATTTAATCTCTCAATTTTTCATAATTTTATTTTTTCTTCAATTCATCCTTTATTTCAAGTCCATTTTTTTTTACCAAATTTGAACAACATGCTCATATACCACAATAGAATACCTATGTAACTTTAATTCTTACTTTTTTTTACTAAAATTGTACTCACTTTTTTTATTTAGTCCCTTAATTTTTCATTTTACTCAATTTAGTCTTTCGACTTCTATTGTTTCCAAATTCTTTCTTCCTATCAATTCCTTAATAATACTCTAAATAATTATAACAAAATTAGTATAAAAACTCGAATAACTCGTTCAAAAAAAATTTCAAGTTAAATTTGAGTTGTAAAATACGACTCATCAACTCGAATAACTCAAAATTTTTTGACTCGACTCGACTCGATCCGATCGAATGCTCACCACTAATTATATTTATACTTATTTACATAATTTAATGAAGAAATAAAAAATGAAAACACGTGTACAATTATTTTGTATTAATGCCCAGTTCAAGTGAGGGAGAAAAGAAAAAAATTAATACAAAAATAAATATTCTTCTATTATTTATATATTTAGTGTTTAAATTATTTTTAAATCAATTTAGATATCTAACATATTTAAAGCTACTTTATTAGGTATATGGACCGTCATGGACTGTTAGATAACATGTGCCACCTCTATAAATTTTTTAAAAAGTTTATTTAAATTAAAAAATTATAATTATAATTTTTAAGAAAAGATTTAAAATTTTATAAAACTACATAAAAAAACTTAAATCTTTTAAAACTATTATTTTAATCCCTTTGCCATTGTCATTCGTCACCAACGCCGTCAATAATCCAAACCTTTAATAATTGTGACTGGTCAAACAACTGAATGACCAAAACCCTTACTTTCGCAACCAGTCGAACATCCAATGATCATGTAAATGTAAGATTTTACGATCGTTGATTTTTACCGTTATTGTCCATTTTTGTTACAATTAAAGGTTAAAATAGGGAATTAAAATCATTGGGTGTTTGCCGGTCACACGCAATTGAAATTTTGACTGGTTGACGATGTTGGTGGTGGCTGGTGATGATAAAAGAATTGATATTAGGGTTTTAAATTTTTTTGAATTTTTTATATTTTCAAAAGAGAAAAACTGTGGCTTTTCTAAAAATAACATTTTTAAGTTTTTTTTAATAAATTTTTTAAAAAATTATAAAGACGATACGTTTAATTTAACGTCAGAATTTCTTGACCGTAGATGTTTAAGCATCTGAAAATGCTATATTTAAAAAATAAAACATGTAGATCGATCAAAAAATAATTTAAATAATTAAATAAAAATATATAATTTAAATATTTATTTTTATATTAGACCGAAATTTAATAATTAATCTCTTAAAATAATGTCGAATTATTATTTGACCATTAACCTCTTAAACAGTAAGCTGCTTTGAGTTTTTGGTACGAAAAAAAGAACCGGTGGTTAACATGCCTTGCCTTTGCCAAACTCATTTCCTTTGAATCTATAAGACGCCAAAGCAATAAGTAGTTGTTTTACCAGTTCCCGTGTTAAGACCCGATCGAACGCAAATACTAAATAATCAAAAGCGAACAGGTCAGACAAAGAGCCCTAGTCAATTCAATCCCTCGGTCAACATTCGTAAACATGACTCGATCTCCTCAAATCTATCCTTCGCTGCTATAAATAAAGCCTCCACAGCCCACGAATCTTTCATTTCTTTGCTCAAACCACAAAGCTTTTCAAACTTATTTCCAATACAAATTCGCAGACAGAAATATTGAAAAATAAAAGCTTTCACATGGCTTCTTTACATGCTTCTACTTTTCTACTCTCTTCTTCTTCTTCAAAGCAAATCCATGCCGCTCTATCTGTGCCAAAGATTCCATCGATTAGGTTTTCAGTTCCAAAAGTACAGATCAAAGGGTTGTCTTTGGAATTGAATACTAGGGATGGGTTCATCAACACAATTCCATTTGAAAAGAATGCCATTAGCTCACCATTGGTTCAAGGAGGCTCATCTGTTTCAATGCCTACCTTTCAACTTTATGCTATCTTAGAGTCCATTGCCGACAGAGTGGAGATGCACAACAACGTCGGGCAACAACGGGACAACTGGAACACCCTTCTCCTGAATTCCATCAACATGATCAATCTCACCGCCGCAACCATGGCTGGTTTTACGGCGACCGGCGGCCATGGAGGTTCTGATTTGGGTTTGAAGTTGGCGTCGACTCTCTTGTTCTCTGCAGCCACGGGAATGTTGGTGTTGATGAACAAAATCCAACCCTCACAACTCGTGGAAGAGCAACGTAATGCGACGAGATTGTTTAAGCAGCTTCAGAGGCAAATAGAAACCCTACTTGCTACTGACTCTCCAAGCAAACAAGACGTGAAAGATGCTATGGAGAAAGTATTGACACTTGATAAAGCTTATCCTCTTCCCTTGCTAGGTGTGATGCTTGAAAAGTTCCCTGAAAATTTAGAACCTACTGTTTGGTGGCCTAAGATGCAGTCTCAGAAAACCAACAAAGAAAAATACTTTAAGGGAAAGGTAGAAAGCAATGGATGGACCGAGGAGCTGGAAATGGAAATGAGAGAAGTCGTTGAGGTGAGTAAGAGAAAAGACAGTGAAGATTACGAGAGACTAGGCAACAAAGCATTGAAGATGAACAAAGTTTTAGCTGCCTCAGGGCTAATACTCACTGGAATTGCCGCTCTAGGATCTGCCTTCATGGATTCGTCCAATGGTCCTTGGGCAGCAATCGTGGCAGCTGCTGCAGGAGCTTTAGCTTCAGCAGTTAACACTTTGGAGCACGGTGGCCAAGTTGGAATGCTGTTTGAGATGTATAGGAACAACGCCGGCTTCTTCAAACATGTGCAAGAATCAATTGAATCAACTCTCAGTGAGAATGATTGGGATAAAAGAGAAAACGGGGAGTTGTTTGAAATGAAGGTGGCGTTGCAATTGGGAAGAAGCTTATCACAGCTGAGAGATTTAGCCAAAAAATCCAATTATTCTCGTGTAGAAGGAAGCCCCATTGATGAATTCGCAAGCAAGCTGTTTTAGTTTAGGGATTCAAGATCACAAAATGCGCATATGTACAAGGATTATTCTTTGATTCTTTGATCCGTTTCATTAACCATTGCTAATATTTTTGTACAATTTTGTGAAGATGATACAGTTGAACTATGAAAATATACATACTTCATGACCCATGCATAGAAATCAATGTGCGTCTTTCTTTAAAGTTGATTATCTGTTTGTTATTTGTATTCTACTTAATTTTGTTTAAAAAGAGAAGGAATTGTATAAACAAAAAAATAAATGAAGAAATGTCTTCAAAGTAAAAGAAATGAATGTTAGTACAATTTTCATTGAGGTAATGTACCACAACACAAGGAAATTTAAGGGTCATAATTGGACGTCGATTAAAAAAATTAATTTGGGGTGCCAAATTTAAAAATTGTACGAAGAATTTTTTTGAGTGGATGAAAATAAATAATGTGTATCAATTCATGTTTAAGGATGTCGATATTTTTTGAAAATATATTAATTTTATTTATTTTTAAATATTTTTATATTAAAATATACTTAATACACTTATTAAGGATTATATAATAAATAAAAACTTAGAATATATTATTTTTAATAAGTATCTAAAATTAGTTTTTTAAAAATATACTCTAAGTATATATTTATTATTTTTTAAAATTATTTTAAAATTATTTTGGTTTGGTGTATCAACCTCCCAGGTAGCCTGTTAAAAATGCTAAGCAAGGTTGGAATAAGGGTATGGGGTTGTCAATCCTCGTCGATATCTCCATGAAGATTCTTTTTTGGAATGTTAGGGGGGTTAAAGCACCCTAATAAAAAAGCAGAAGTAGTTAATATAATTCTTTTTCTTCAAATTGCTCTTGTGTGTTTGGTCAAATCTAGAGTTAAGATTGATAAGGTTCAGCAAGTTTGGAAGAATATATTTGATGGTTGGGTTGGTTTCCATAATTATGATTGGGCTGAGAATGGTAGAATTTGGTTTTTTATGTAAAACACATTTTCTTTCTTTTGTAATTTATGTTTCTTTTCAGTGTTTGACTTATTCTGTTTGGTTTGGTGCTCATAGTTTTTATGTCTCTTCTGTTTATGGTTGCAATTTGGGGAGTGATAGGCAGTAGTTGTGGGAGCATCTGGTTGATCTTAAGGGTTTGATTGGTGGTTTGATTTGGCTGGTAATAGGTAATTTTAATGTGGTGTCACATGTTTCAGAAAGTTTTGAGCTTGTTAGTGGTGTTGTAAGGAAGGATATGGAGGCATTTAATGCTTGTTTGGGAGTTCTTAGGGTTGTTAATCATGCTTATTTAGGTCATGTTTTCACTTGGTCAAATAAGCAAGAGGGTTCTTACCTTGCAAAAAAGCTTAATAGAATTCTTGTTCTCTTTCTTGGATTGATCTATTTCCTCATGCTTTGGTTTCTTTCATTGCCCCTACTATTTCTGATCATTGTCCGGGGGTTATCTCTTTCGAGGATGTTGTGAACTCTATTCCCAAGCCATTTCGGTTTTTTAATATTTGGGTGAAGGACCCAAATTTCCTGGATTTGGTGGCTAATAGCTGGAACATTCCTCTTGTTCGGGGTAATCCTCTTAAGGTTTTATTTTTAAGCTTAAAAGGCTTAAACCTATTTTGAAAGGTTTGAATCAGGTTCGTTATGGTAATTTGCCTACTCAGGTTCGTGAGAAAATGTTGGAATTGGAGAAGATTCATCCCCAGGTCCTATTTGGAACTCATAATACCCAGGTTTTAGATTTAGAGAGGTCTATGTCAGGGGAGCTTCAAGTGTTAGTGGCTGTTGAGGAAAGTTTATATAGGCAGAAGGCACGTGCTCTTTGAGTGCATGAAGGAGACAAAAATACTACTTATTTTCATTCCATGGTGAAGCTAAGATAAAATAGGCAATATATTGGTGTTATTCTTAATGATCAGGGGCATCTCTTGACTTCTTTTGATCAGATAGCTGATGAGGTGGTGGATTATTTTCAGAAGCTTATTGGGACTATAAATTAGAGTGTGTCTGGTTGCTCGGTGGAGCTGCTTAAGGAGTTGTTGGGCTCTATCTTTTTTTAGGTTGCTTGTAGGTCTTTTCATGCTAGAGTTACCCATAATGAGATTAAGGGAGCTATGTTTTAGCAACACTCTGATAGGGCTCCTGGGCCTGATGGTTTATCTACTTGTTTTTTCAAGGCTGCCTGAAGTGTTGAGGGTTGTTTCGTTTTTCTTTAATTTTGGTTCCTAAGGTCCGAAACCTGAGTTTTACGAAGAACTTTAGACCTATTTCTTATAGCAATGTTATCTAAAAATGTATCATGAAAGTTATTGTGAATAGACTTGAGGGTTTTCTTTCCGAAGCGATCTCTTCGAGCCAGAGCTCATTTATTATGGGCAGGGATATTATGGATAATACGCTTATGGCTCAGGAACTTGTAAATTGTTACGGTAGGTTCACTCTCTCCCCTAGATGCACTTTATTACTTTAAAGCTAGATCTGCAGAAGACCTTTGACTTTATTGATTGGAATTTTATTTTAGTTGTCTTGAAAGCGTTGAATGTTCTTGCTTTCATGATTGGTTGGATTAGAGAATGTATTACTACCCCTAAAGTTTTTTATCTCTCTAAATGGTGGTCTTATAGGGGGTTTTAGTAGTGCTAAAGGCTTTAGGCAGGGGGCACTTTCCCCCCATGTAACATCCTCAATACCGGCTTAGTGACTAAATTGTAAAGTCTCATAATTTGATGATTAAAATAGAATGATTGAATAGTGTACAGATTTAATTGTAAATTATTGTATAGATTTGAATTGAAAGAAAGAAGAAATAGAAGGGCAAAGATGTCATTTCTAAGGGAATAAGAAAAGAATGGTTATATATGTACCCACGTGGGTTGAAGAGGGGAGAACACAAAGGCTTCCAGAGTTCTTTTCTTCTTCTTTCTTCCTTGTACGTGTAAAGCAAAACAAAGGTGAGTTTTCTGATTATTGAGTTTCTTGTTAAATTTAAGATTGGGTTTTGATTATTAGATGATAACTAAGCTTAAGGAAAGCTTAGGTTATCTTAAAATCAAAGGGTGATGGAGTTAGAAGAGATTAAAGATTAGAGGTTCTTAAATGAAATCTTAGAATAAAGTTCATATCTAGAATTGGAAGTTAAATTTGACTTATCATCAATCTAGTTAAGACATATTAAGGGTTAGAAGTGGAATTAAATCATGTTGCAAAGTTGGTATAATTCTTGGATTTCACAAGGAGGATAGGATTATGAGGTTTAAGATGAAATAAGTGAGTATAGATTGGTTTAAGTATGTGTACTGGAGTTAAGAATATAAAAGGGGATGAAACATGAAAGATTTAAGCTGAAATGGATAAGTTTTCGGGTTCAAGAACTGAATTCTGGGCAGAGTGCATCGGTGCACATTCAACGTGTACCGATGCATCAAGAGAAAATCCCAGAATTTGTTGAAGGTGCATCGATGCACATGGAGTGTATCGATGCACTCATTTAAATAAATGAACATCGAATGTCATTAGTGCATCGATGCATAAGAAGTGCATCGATGCACCTGCTTAAAATACAAACATCGAATATGATTTATGCACTGATACATGGGTATTGCATCGATGCACCGGTCAAGGGATGCATTGATACATGGTGTAGTGCATCGATGCATACCTTTAATAAGAGATGGAAATAGTTTTCTTTTAGCCTAAGGATTAATAGTTTGGAATATATCAATTCGTATGCTGATAAGTATAAATGTATTACTATGTAGATTTAGAGCGTAATCTTATTCCAGAACAATCGAAGGATTAGAATCGAATCAAAGCAAGGCTAAGGTGAGTGCATTTTATAGTTAAAATGTATAGAGACAAGACTTGTGATAAGTCTATCTCTGATAGTTGAATTGATGATTCCATACCCATGTATATGCATACATATACTATTGTAATAGTGATTGCATGCATAATTCATTATATGTTCATATGACATTGAATGAACGAATATCATTGCCAAAGAATATAATCCAGGTATGTGAAATAATGTAAAAGATTATGTGTTTATATGAAAAGTGATGAAAGAGATATGAAATGAGAAATGTATTCATATTAAAGCCCATGTTATATGATACGAGAGCTATAGGTATAGTTGGCATGCCAAGAGTCGAGGGTATATTAGTCCTTCGGGACGTATCCAGTGGTCCTTCGGGACGTATTCAGTGGTCCTTCGGGACGTATCCAGTGGTCATTCGGGACATAGTGGTCCTTCGGGACAAATACTGAACAAATGTTCAGTGCCCGATGAGGGAATTTACTGAGCTGTGGTGACAGCATTAGTGCACAACCTCAATGTACTCGAATACCTCTGTTCTCAATAATGTACATGGGCAATTGTAAGATCAATTAAGGCAAAAATGATACAAGAAAATAAGTTTCATATGTACATGTCATGATTATATCGGTTATAGTGAAATATATACATGCATATTGAAATGTCATGATCAAATTGTAAGAATGCATATTCATGAATCTATAACTACATGTTTATTTATTGCCTCACTAAGTCTATGACTTAGCGTGTAAGTGATTTACACGTAGGTAATAGGAAACAAGAAGAGCAGTACTAGAAGTGGCAAGAATAGCACCACTATTAAAAGATCAGATCAGAAGTAATTGGCAAAGTAGGTATTTTGAGTTGTGTATAGAGTGTTGGCATGTAATAAGTTGTTAATTACGAATGCTCTGATCGATTTTGTATTTTTTGATCTCTTTTATGTAAATTAACTTATTTTGTTTTAATGAAAGTTTAAAATTTCCTTGTTTTTCTTTAAGTAACAAAGTTTGAAAAGTCAATGTGACACCTCAGACTCATATTCGGGTCGGATACGGGTTAAGGGTGTTACATTTAATGGTATCAGAGCTACGGTTTAGTCGATTCTCAGCATAAACCGAAGTCTAGAATGTATTATAATGTATACATGCCAACAAAATAGTGAAAACTTTTGATATGATAGAATAATAAGTATGTTGTTTTGCTAATAGAATGATATTATTGTGTCTTAATAGATGTCCGACATGGTAGTTCTAGAAATGAAGCTGGAGATGATAGACCCGCTGAATGTAGTAATTCACCTGCCTTGGCCAGACAGAGTGAAGAATAGACACCCTCTGGAGTGCTTGTGAATGAACAAGATGTATTCTTTAGAACGTTAGATGCGGTATTGACGCGTTTCCAACCTCCTCCTACTTCAACTCCGAAAATGAA